ATATAAACATGAAATCCTAGTTAAAAATAAAAATACTCATTTATTGTTTAGGTTTATTTACAAATATTATTTATGGGTCTGTATATTACTTGAAACCATAAGAAGTATATATGATTATTAAAAAAATTAAAAATAGATAAAATTTGCATTTTATGAAGAATACAATTTTTTTGGGATTTCAAAATAATGTACTAAAACATTAAAAGTAACAAGTTCAAATCTGTAGCAAATATAAATATTGTAATCATTTCTTATAAATACAATTTCCTAATGTAATTTTCCAAGATATAAAAGATCATAATGCAAAAAAACTAAATTTATTAAAAGTAATAGGCTTTATGTTTCTTAAACTACCTACATTTGTCAAAGTACTTATCAACTTTCGAACATATTCTTCCACTAGTTTTATTGTTGGAATGAAATATAGCAAGACTTACATTGCCTACTAAAAAAGTTAGTAGCCGGTAGTCATCGGGTTAAACAGATAACTTTTTGAGGAATCAAAATCTTAGTACAGAGAAACTTTCAATATTACATAAATATTTTTTCCTATAAATAAAGTTTTGACTATGACATAGTACTTTAGAATCTGTTTTTTTTCTTTATTGTTAAGCACAAAGATACACAATGGGCTATCTATGCTGTGTTCACCACGGGTATCGAAACAGTTTTTTAGCATTATAAGCCAATAATATAAGATCCATGTTTTTTGGTTTAAAAATATATCCTTTGTTCTTCTAATTTCTGTTTCAATGACATATGATTCAATTCCATTGAAAACATGTTAAATTATAATAGTTGAAAAAGTCAGAAAATTAGTATCTTTTATTAACTTTTAATGTGTGTGTAAAAATGTTTACAATAACCTTACCTTCTGGAAATATTAGAATTGGAAGTTTTTCTGGATTTTCTACATGTTCTTTCAATCTAACAAAAGAAAACATAGTAAATTTATATAGCATATTAATATAATAAACACAGTTACTGGTCCAAGAAATAAAAACTTGGTACACTGGACACTTTTAGGTATCCTTCTTACTTCCCTTTTGAAGGAAAAAGGATCAACTACAAAAAACAAGCACTTAGGTTACCAGTGAAACACAAGTTAACCCTTTCAGCATGGGTGCCTGCAATTTGCGGGAGGCCATATGGGAATTTCACTTGTGCAACAATACATACTGTAACTCTGATATTTCTTAATTTATCCTTACAAAAACTGGTATTATTTTAATTTAAGTCTTCATACTAAAAATATATCTATTTATTGTACTTATTTGCACTCAGACTCTGAATAGTTCAAGTACAAGATGATTTTAATTTTAAGTATACATTTTTTTGAGGTAAATGTTTTTCTTTTTCTTTCGTTTTTCTCTACCACATCAGTAACTGTAAATATTATCATTAACATAAGGTGCAATGAAATGTTTAAAATTAAGAAAAAGAAAAAATGTACATTTTTGTTATAGAATATCTTAAAAGATCTTTTGGTGATATTTGTAATTGTAGGTCTTTTCCTTTTCACATATAGTTAATTTCTAATTGTTCTTTACCATTTATTATTCATCCTGACATAAGTCAATGATGCCCTCAGGCATATCACAGTGTCTTTGAAAGAGATGCACAAGCCATTGACAAAATTACCTTACACTCTTGCAAGACCTTAAGCCTTGAGAACTGATGCAAAGTATAATTAGGCATTTTAAAACATAAATAATACCTAATTAATTAAGATATAAAAGTAAGACTTAAATATAATCTAACTGTCTCTCTCTAACTAATAACATGGAAGCACCTTGCATAAGTTTGTAAGATAAATAAGTGCAGTCCACCTGAGCAAAAAACATCCAGGGAAAGCACCATGGATTTATATCAAGATAGCCAAGTGAGGTCTGCCCAAGCAAAAACTTCCAGAGGAAGCACCTTGGTATACATTGAATTGTGTCAAGTGCAGTTCATCCTGGCAGAAAATATCAAGTGGAAGCACCTTGCATAATATATTTCTTATCATATTTTGTACGTAATATAATTTCAGATCAACAAGTGCAGTCCACTCAAGCAAAAAACAATCGAGAGAAGTGCATTGCATAATATTGCATGTTTCATACCTTGTACAAAAGGTATTGAGAGATCAAGCAAGTGAGGTCAACCCAGGCAAAAACATCTGGGAGAAGCACTTTGGATTGATAATATCACAATAGTGTATAATATGAAGCATAACAAGGATAGCTCTCTTCTCATTCAGTGAGTACATATGTCTATGAGATTGTGTTAACACACAAAACCCACTTGTGAGGAAATCTCCATGGTTCACCACTCCAGTGACTGGGAACTGAAAATTGCATGGACCCCTTGCTCCATTAAAAGAGGGGGGGGGATACTCATTGGGGGAGGGGAGTCTGAAGAAACAACACACTGGAGACAATGCAATGGGCATCTGCATTTCCCTATTTTAAAAAGCAGAAATAACCTGATTGTAAGAATCACGAGTCATTAGATATGGGCAAAAACTGGACGTGGCATGATCCTAAGAAGGAGGAAAGGAAACCAGGATAGAGGATAGGGGGGAGGGCTCTGGAACTGAAGGCAAAGACCCTCTGCCAGAATCCATAAAGCCCACGGATCTGTCTTGAAGAGTTCCCAGACAGTAGAAAACTACTGTAACCTGCCCTTGAAATGACATCCCATCACCGATAAAACTGACTCCTCTAAAAATGGGAACGGGAAGAAAGAGCATAAGGAAGAGAATGCCTGGAATAGGGTAAGGGATGGGGGAGAGGAAGAAGGTACACAGGGAACCCTAACAGGTAAAGATTGAGCAAAAACAGGAGGGCAAGACAAAAGAGAGGCAAGGGAGGACAAGGAATAATGTAATCTTGCCACATTGACCCTGGACTCTAAAGACTCACGATGACCCCCAACGACTCTTTTGTGAAGAAATGGGGTCTGACGAAGTTCCCTCAAAGTAAAAAGGAGGAAATACATTCCTACAAACAATGCATCATGCCCCAGCAAATCCCAACAGCATAAGATCCAGGTGGTGAGGGACAGTGTCAAAGCCAACAAACAGGCCATATCGGACCACAGGAAGGTCCTCAGTTCTTTTGAGAACTGTTCTGGAGACTGGTGGAAGGTTTGAGATAACAACTGTAAAGAGGAATTAACATGTAAAAGGGTGGTCAAAGTAAGACAAATTCTAGAAACTGGGACCTACTACAATGAATCAAGGCATTAGGATTCGAGCCTCACAAGGGAAGGAGAGGATCCAAACATTATGAATTTAAATAGGGATTCGGGGCAGATTGGGAAGCAAAAGAATATTGGTCCAAAAGCCAAGTCCACACCCAACTGCAAATGATCAGCAAAATGTTGAGCATGAACAAGAATGCTGGGTTATAAAGAAAAAAATTATAATCAGGATGAGGATCATATCCCAACAAAGAAGAACAAGAATTGATTAGGAATCGAGCCTCACAAGGGAAGGAGAGGATCCAAACATTATGAATTCAAATAGGAAATCAGGGCAGATTGGGAAGCGAAAGAATATCGGTCCAAAAGCCAAGGGGGATGGGGCATACCCACACCCAACTGCAAATGATCAGCAAGATGTTGAGCATGAACAAGAATGCTGGATTATAAAGAAAAAAAATTATAATCAGGATGAGGATCATTCCCCAACAAAGAAGAACAAGAATCAAGGGCTAAAGGCAAAACATGTAAAATTTGACATACCTGATCGGTAAGTTGTAAGAAAGGCATAGTTGGCATACTCTCCTAACTGTCAGCATTATTCGACTGTCCGAAAAAAGCCAGGGCCAGAAAAACAGAGTTGAAATTGTCCCACTGTGATGAAAAACTTCTTCAGGAGCATGTTCATGGGGAAAAAGAAAATGAATCAAAGAAGTATCCAAAGCGTCCAACTCCCTGCGGATTAAAGCTTAAACCTCCTCAGCCGACATTGGCAACCTGCTGTGCTGGGGACTAGTGACATTAGCATCATCCATATTGGCAGGAACTTCCTCATCCACCACATAAAAATTCGAATTCATAAGTCCATGTGGACTTCCAAAACAAAGTGTAAGAAAAAGTCTAACAAATGTAAATGAAATGATGAAATTACCAGTAGTTGAAACTGTAAATTGAAACCAGCAAGGAACCACGCATGAACGAGCAGGATTTACTTGAAGAACATATTAAACACATTTCTAAACACTGTAGTGCCAATTGAGAAAGTGAGGATTGTGCTAGTATAGATGATGCAATAGGATTGGTGTAAGGTAGTCACATGAGCAGCACATGTTACTGCAATGATGCAAAAAACATAGGGGTATAAAAGACTGATGCACTGTTCAAAATTTCAGCAATACTTAGAAGGCAAATAAAGGTTGAGACAGCTATGGGTGAGAGGAGGTAGCATCATTTCACAAAACAAAATTCAATGTACCAACCTCTTACTTTTATTTGCCTTATATTTTAGCAGCAGAGACAGCAGTTTACAAGCAAATAGTGTTATGTTTTGAATGAAATCAATGCATTGAGTAACTAACAGAATTTTTTAACCCATTTATAAATTTACTGGAAAGCCAATTAAGATGTAGCAGTTTTGGGACATTCTATTCTAGTGCCTCATATACCTTTTGTGTTCTGAAATTTGTAAGCAACATGAATTATTTTGTGGACAATCAGAGTAGTGGGGAAAAGTAGTCTTTTTGAAATACATTCTTGAATACAAATTAGCCTATGGTTAAAAGTACATGGTAAATTTCTTGTTTTATATATATATATATATATA